TTTTGAAAATGGTCTATAACGGGTTTCGCAATGAAATCTTTCAATTCATGCCTATCCTGGAGGTCGATCAACCAAAAAACAAGTCTAGAATGTCACATTTTGAACATAGTAAAACTGTGGCTTTACCGTAGTATTATTAATCAGACTAGCATATCTCACCTAAATTTTGTGGCTGTGTTACCAATGAAAATAACGGTGCGATATTTACGGATACTCAGCATATCCTATGTTTATGTTGTATTTTATTTTTTTCCTTGAAGCCCACTTAACACACTTAACATTTGTGTGGCTGTATGTGCTGAAAGCAGTCATTATTAATTTTTAAATTTTCTAACCTCTCTTCACCCCCTACAGTTAAACAGGTTGTTTTTAACTGTGCTTTTGAGCCTTTAAATGAGCTCTGCTCTGACTGGCTGCACGGTGTTGTGCCACATTCAGAACAGTACTTGTAACTTCTTTATAGCCTTTTTACCAGTCTTTAAATTACTCTGTATAACTTCAGTGTGGTTAGGTGTTCCTTCCTAGAGATTTTAATGATCAGTAATTTTTTTGTGAAAAAACATTACACGTCTAAATATTTCAATTCTCTGACTAAACGCTGACATTTTTTCCATTAGATGTAATTTTCTTTCTAATTTTCAGACCCAATTAAAATCATATTACTGGTCAGATGATTTAAGCTCTATTCGGATAAATACAAATACTTCAGATTTACTTCAGTTGTTAAAGGAGTGTGTTTAGTGTGTTTACACTGGCATAATTAAATAAGAAAAGTTAAGTAATTGGAACTGACATACCTTGAACCTCAAACACGGTTGCCTCCTCCTTCAAATGAAAATCCCACATTTGCAAAAGAGCATGGTAAAACAGCCCAATTCCAAAATTCTACACTGTTATGTAAAAGTCTTGACTCAATAATATTTATGTCCCCAAAACTTACATACACAAGCCCAAATTCTAGCCCAGCAAACAACGACAACAAAGCAACAGGAATGAAAATGGAGGCTGTGTGTAGATGATATACTGTTCCAGGCTGTGAAGGGGATGTCAGCACTTTTCATACCCTTCCTAAGGAACTGAACTGTCAACAGGCATGGTTGATATTCATCTTTAAACAAGGCTGAAGTTGACTTCCTATTCGCCAGCTTCGTTACCGAATGTTCCGTTCCACCTTAAATGCTACAGCTTGTACAGGCAACAGAACGTAACTGCAGCACCATTTAAGATGGAAGGGAAAATTCACAAAACAAGCCAACAAGCCAACTTCAGCTCCCACATATTTAACAAGATCCCAGACCATTTTAATTCGAAGTTATTAGTTTGCTCTGCACATTTCACTCAGGGCAGTTTCTCAAATCTTGGACAATATCGAGCAGGCTTCGCTCAGCACTGCACAGTGAAAAGATGGAGGGGCGGTTCCATCGGTTATTAGCATTACAACCCCAACAGAAACCTGTAAGTGGCAGCCATGCCATGTGATTTTATCCACTTTTTGATGGTTGAAGCCAGATCATCTTAAATTGAAAGTTTCATAGCGAGCTAACAACGTTAATTTACATTGTGTTCTTGCCGACAGTGAAAGCAAGTAGCTAGTACAGGTAACGATAGCTACTAGGAAGCTCCGAGTAACTAGCATAGCTAACTAAATACTATGGCGACAACCTAGCTTTTTACAGAGATTACTTTTATTTTCCTGCATGTGTCTATTTCAACATCTTGCTTCTGTGTGAGTCATCGCGGTGCCTCGCCCTAAACCAGCAAATCAGAACAGAGCTTATCAAATTATTCATGAGCCCCCCCATAACTGGGAAAACAGCTTGTTTCATTCTAGGGCCAAATCACAGGGTTGTAAATGTGCATGTAAAACTGCATCTATTGATTTTTCTCTCTGACCAAAGTCACATTACTTCTATGTAGACATTAGAACAATTTAAAATGCAGAAAAAAATGCATTCTATGGCACCTTTAAATATGGTTCTTATTTAAAGTGAAGGGAAACCCAGAACAATACAGCACTGATAATCTACAAAAAGGTTTACTTAAGCATCCAAAAGGGCTTTATTTGGAAAAAAATAAATAAATACACTATACTGTGACATATACTGAAACCATCTGTAATCTTAATTACACCATGATATAAATGTTTGCCCATACCACTCACTACTACCCAGAAATATGTCTGGATTTAAAGATTAGGCTTTGCCTTCATGCTTTTACTGAACTGATATTAGTTTAGGGGGTATTTGACTATTTTCCAACATTGTTGTGATACAGTACTATCCAAATATGAATTCAGGTATAGACATAATTAGAACGTCAGAACAGTCTTTAAGTAGATGTGCAGCACATTCTGTCTTCAGTGAAGCAGTCTATTGCACAGTGTTGCACTTGTCCTCAGCAAGCTCAAAAAGAACTGAAATTTAGGAAAGTGAACTTGCGTCAGACATGGTCTGCAAAGCACCAAAGAGAGAAAGAGAGAAGTATGCTAGCCTCAGCGTCTGCCATACAGCAGCCTTACATAACAGCCCTCCTCAGGGCCGCAGGCTCAGCCGTCCATCCTCCAAAAGGGAAACAAGAGGAACAATCAAACACACACAGATGCTCCCAGAGGTGTGTGAGCAGCACTCAACTTCACTGATCATCAGCCAAGCCCTGCATCCCAATTTCTGCCATTATTCTGGGCTGCCCGACTGTGACTCCGAATATACCTCTACTTAAAACTCTGCATGATATTCAAACACTGCATAAGCATTTTTAGAGAAACTGATACAACTGACAACTTGTAGCATTATTGTTTACACTAACATATTTAGTATCAAACCAAAAGATGGAAAAAACATTATATGAGTAAGATCACATCTGATTGGGCAGATTTTATGACGTACAATAATAACTGTAATAATCTCTACTGAATTTTCTGAACTCTCTGTTCTCTGTTCCATGTGGGCTCGTTGGCTTTATTTATGTCTTGTTTTTTTTGTTTTAAAATATTAGAGCAATAAGCCATGAGACTTTCTGTGCTACAGTAGTTTTACACAACGCAAAGAAGAGTGAAATCATTGTTAAAGCAGCCTTGAGTGGCTTACTGCTTTAACAAAACAGAGAAACCTTGGCCCCTTAAGACATGAAATAATTTATGAGCGCAGTCAAATGTGTATTTCGAGTGACTTTAAACATGCCTCAGTCTCATTTTAAAACTAAAACTTAGAACTATCCATTTTATATTTGTTCGTTTTGAAGAGAACCCAGACCAACCTGCTCAGGGGGTCTCGGCCCGCTTACTTGGTGCACACTAAAGTTCAGATGGCAGCATTCTCACTTGCTCTAACAAAGCAATAGCACCAGTGTTTGTTTTAATCAAACCAAACCTGCCAAGTCTGAGCACACTTACATAACATGCACTTATTGATAATAAAAACAAGAACCTGTGTGAACATTAACATTGTTTCTTTTAAATCAAATAACAGACAAAACATCAACCCTTGCATGCCCTTTTACTGAATTCGTTTTCTGGAAAGAAATGGGGCAAAAGAAAAACTGTGAAGTGCACTCTGTGATGGGAATTGAGTTGGTAATCCTGCTACGCGAGAGAAGATTAGTGGAGCGTGTGTGTGCACGAGTATGTGTATGAGCGTGTGTGTGGCACAGTGAAGACGAGGTACTGAGCGGCTAATCGAGCTGACAGTTCCATAGATAACTGGCAGGGCTTTGGTGGGCACTCTGTAGGGCCATGCAGTACTGCTACACACTCTCCAAATCCACACAGCACAACAGGTGCACTGTATGCCCAAAATTATCAAGACACTTCTTCCAATTAGTGAATTCAGCCTTTTTAAGGTCTTCAATTGTGCACACACAGCATGAACAGTGGGGGAAATAAGTATATACAGTCACACTGGATAAGATTGGACATCCCTGGCCTAAGGTCCACATGGCCAATTGCAAGCTGTGGCACAGTGGAACTGCATTCTATGGAGTGACAGAGCTCCACACAATACTTGGGATGAGTTGGAGTGGCATTTGTAATCCAAAACTAACCATCCAACATGGGTGAATGTAATCAAATTCCTACAGCAATGTTCAAACATCTGGTCTAAAGTCTTCCCAGAAAAGTAGAGGCTGTTACTGCAGCAAATGGGGACAAACTCCCCCTTGATTTCAGAAGAAATGTTAGATGAGCAGCTGTCTTTTGGACATACAGTTGGTGTTTCATTTAGCTAAGGTGGCAAGAGCAAGTAGTAGCTTTGTGCCTATCCCCACATAAAAAGTAGGTTTATAAAATAACTTCCAGCCTACATGTGTGCTTGTATTGCAACACAATCTGGGCTACGGAAACATGCACTTTGTGAAATGGCAGTAAATTGTTAAAGGTGCCTTTTGACATTCACATTCAAAATGACATGGCCTTTCCCACAAAATGAATAAATGTAATAAAAACTGACACTAGCATACAACAAATGTACTGATACTATCACTTAGTGCAGTGTTTCCCTTACCATTAAATATGCCAGGCAGCCTCAAAGTCATGTGCTGCTCTGCTTGGATGAGACGCAGACATTAGGACGTAACTGGTAAGCTAATTTTTCTTCTTAGCATTCTGTTTTTAAACTGGTATGTGCATTTTTCTGCCAAATTAAAATTCAAACTCCATTTCCAAATGAAATGATATTTTGGTGTGGTGGAGACATGGTGGCTTGTGCCAGAGAAGCAGCATCCTGTCTTTAAGTATAACAGAAGTCTTCAATCACAGAATTTCTTGGTCTATAAAGAAACATTTTTACTGAAATATTAGTCTTTGATGGTACCATATACTCACAAAACTTTTTTTTTTTTCTGGGTCTACCAATCAGCCTGAAAAGAAATCTAGAGAGAAACACTGAAGTGTACCTCACTACGGCACTGCTTTGTGTGGTAGTTATGACCAGCTACACCTCAAATAGAACCCCAACACCTGTGCAGTTCAAGAAACCTGCTTTATGTGCAATTTAAACAGAACCTACTTTTTGCCAGGCTTTTTCGGCTTGGTCCTTTTCTTCCTCGCCTGGAGTGCAAGCACTGCCATGACATAAAAACAGAAAAGTGACAATTAGAAACATTCTGAAAAAATCATTCATTCTCTCAGTATTAGTTTTCGTGAGTTAACTTGACTCTAAGGCCAATTTCACTAGCAAGACACAACTGTCAGGTTAATTAGCATTCATTATAGTAATATGGAAAACTAAACTAATTGAACTTAAAGCCACATACAGGGGTCCACAGAATAACCTAAACCCATCATCAAGTAAAGGCATTGTACGTTATGCTTCAGAGAGATAATGGTTCAAGTACAAGTAAAAAATTGTCTTTTCCATTTTAATACTCATGTATTGAGTAACTCAACTAACTGCAATGACAGTTCTTAATAAATCTGAAATCAATCATTAGCTTGAAAGCTGCTGTTCTTCTTTTTCTAAAACAATAAACCTCAAAAGTTATGAAGTAATATAAAGATAATCTGAAAATTACACATTCCAAAGTTCGTTTTTTCTTAACCAAACAACAGTAAATTATATTCTCACAGAACCTTATTGATAAACAAGCGATGTGGTTAACTTTGAACTCTAATAACACTGATCTCGCTCAAAACTTAGAAGCAAATTTAATTCAAGCTAAAAACTTTCCAGTGAAAAGTTCTGCCTAATTTAATCTTTAAAATTTAAACAAAGTCATCTAGAGTGGTTTGCTGTATAATGCTCCATTGTAGACAAAGTTACTTGGTCAGAATTGTTCACAGTGGTGGTGATAGGAACCAGACGGCCAAAGTGTTTAATAATCCCTCACAAGAAAGCCATTACATGAAATGGATATGAATACGCTACCTGACACATTGTCAGGGGGCAAAAAAAGTGCCCAAAGAAAACAACATTTTTCAGATTTACCCCTGTTTTATCACCACCAACGTGACATATAAAAACTACTAAGACACATGTAGGTTCACTGGTAAGTGTGGATAGTAAATAAAACACTTATGTTGTTGTAATAGCCATCACAACCCCGGGTTCCTATCACCACCACTGTAAAATACAAGTACAAGCAGGAATGTTTATCTAGAAAGGAGAAATTCTGAAAAACCAGTGGAGCTCCGCTTTAAGCTGAAGGAGGCAAACAAGATAAAGGGGAACTCCAAACTTTTTGCATACATAAATGGTTAACATGTCAACAAAGTCATTCAGAGTGGTCTGGTAAGAAATGCTCCATTCTAGAGAAGCTTGCAGACTCCGAACTGTTCACAGTGGTGGTGACATGAACCAAACGTCTGAGGGGTTTAATGCCTCTAAAATGTCCCTCACAGAAAGTTATTAACGCTGTATGAAATGGTTATGAATATAAGTTACTGCCAGATTTCTAAGACATTGCTTTACAGTAGCTTTGTGATAAAATTTTTGGTCTACAATGTATTTTAATCAGTTTATTTTAATCCATTCAAAGTGAAGGGATACAATAAGTGTGTTCTAAGGCAAAATAATCCTCAAAGAAAACATTTTTTTCATATTTACCAATGTTTACAATTACATATACACAAACTAGGCTATCAACATTACATATAAAAACACAGACTCATTTTTTTATTTAATGAAAACGTTGTATTCACTGCCTAATGACGGTGGCTAATACACATCTAGCTAGCTAGCAAAACAGAATAAACATGTTAGAAGTTCAATGTAATATTTAGCTAAATGCGTTATAAAATTAGAGTCTCGCCTTCGGATTTTATTACAGGCGTAACAATGAGTTTAAAGTCAAACTGTGGACTTTATCAAACACGAAGTGAGGCAGTATGTCTTATCTGCGTACACTTATGTTTAAAACTATAACCCGCCTGCTTTATCGGTAACGTTAGTTAGCTCCGTTAGCTAGTTAGCCTGTTAGCTCCCGCTGCTCAGTGCCTGTGTAGTGTGGAGTTCAGCAGCAGCAGCGTGGTGGACTATTGTTCAGCACAGAAAGACAGTGGTGTCTTTGTGCTGCGGATAATAGCGCTTCCACACACAACTGTATTACAAACCCGATACACTTTCACCCAAATGTTCGCTCTAGTACTGAGACAAATGGCTCTTATGTTTATTTGCTCACCTTTCCTTTCCATGCTGTAGTTACCGGCTCGGCGGCGTGTTGTACTGCCAACTTTACACGCACGCGCACTTCATCCAAAACTTCCACCGGCTGAACTATTTTCTCACCCACCCACCCACACAGCCCATCCAGAACCAGAGGGCACAGAGCAGTGAAGGCTCACTGCACATAAAAATCAAACTCAGTGCTTTTATATACATACATACATACGCATTTATAATTTTATTCACAGCTTTAAACACATCCAGATTATGAAAGACATGTTTCTCATTAATTAGGTCACATTCAACTCCAAACTGTGAAACATCAACATTTTATATACCAAGATTTATTTCCAAATTTATTTACTTTGTAATGTATATAATGTTGTTTGTGCCTCTGTACATATTCACACCATATAATATTACTATAATTGAAAAAAAATAAAAAAAATCAAAGTGCCTCTATCATGGAAACGTGGAATAAATTGGGAAAAAAATCCCACACTTTTAAAAAAAAAAAGTTTCATAAAGTATATAATCTGCTGAATAGGACCATTAGAACAACTAGGATTAAAATCTGATGGTTTTACATACATCCACCTGTTTACCTTACAGCAGTTTAGCCCCGCCCATTCACGCTGAAGTTACAAGTAGTGTTTCAGCCCGGACTGCTTTTCAGTGAGGCGCAAAATACGGCAACCAATCAGAACAGAGCTTACTTACATAGTTTTTAGTCACAGCAACAAAACGGCTTATTTAATTTAAGGGGATAAGGAGAAAAGTGGTCAAGTAAAATAAATTATGACTGGTTTTGATAAATGAAACCACATTCATGTTAAAAGTGGACCTCATGGGGGGAAACATAGCTTTAATGAAAATGGTGGGATACGAGCCCTTTAATGCAGTGAAACCTAGCAAGAACCCCTTTTTTCCTTCTTAATAAAGTAGCTGATATCTTGTGAGCTACACTGGTCACGTTGCCTCCAGCCATTCCATGCAGTTATTACATTCCCCTGCACACCTGATTCAACTCCTAAACTGCAAGTGTCGAAGGTGGACCCACACTCATCGCTCTCGTAAAAGCTGGATCACAAGCTTGCAGGTTAACAGTAACGAAGCCTTGATCAGCCAAATCAGATACTGCATGATAACTACAAATAATATGATCTTTAAAATCTAAGACTTCATAATGCTATAGTGGTAGTACATTATTAGCCTAAATTACAGTCATTGTCATTTAATTATTATTAATTATTAAGGCCTCTTTCATTTTTTACACTTTCTGCGTTATCTTAGTCACTACATGAGAAATCATCCTTATTATCAGTCTAATAGCGCCATCTAGTGGTGGAACAAAAGAGTCACAACAGTCTAACTTTCTGTATCTTCCCAAACACGACAATTAAGAGCTGTGTTGAGAGCTGGGTAGTATTTTAGATTATAAAATGGTGCTTACTAGTAATGCAATATATACAATGTAAGTTTGTAGACGCGTGCGTTTCTTCTGAAATCAAGTGTATTAATAGGGAGTTTGACCCCCTTTGCTGCAGTAACAGCCTGTACTCTTCTGGAAGGCCTTTACACTGAATGTTGAAACATTGTTGTGAGGATCTGATTGCATTTAGCCACAAGAGCATTAGTGAGGTCAGGTACTACTATTGAATGATTAGTTCTGGATCACTCCAACTCATCCCAAAAGTACTGAATAGAGCTTCATCACACAAATGAACGCAGTTCCACTGCTCCACAGGCCAGTGCTGAGGGGATTTATACCCCTCTAGCAAATGCTTGGCATTGGGCATGACTGCTCCAGAATGTCCCATTCATTAGCAATGCTTGTAGTCTTCTATAAAGACTATACAAGCTGCGCATGCGCAGTTGAACTCGTGTCAGCAATAGGTGCACCTTAAAAAGAACTGAATTCACCATATACAAGGGGTGTTTGGATCGTTTTGGACATTTCCAAGACTTCAATTATGATGTGGCTGATTATTAAACCAGAAATATGACCATTAGGGGTCAGTGTTGCTTTAATCATGCCAAAGTAGCTATTAAGAGAAAGGATTTGATCTCGCCTTAAGGGAGGTATGTCATACATTACTCTTAAGTTTCTATTTGTGTGGTTTTATGAACCAAAAATGGTCATTGTTCATTTTTACATTCTTTTTATTCATTGGAATTAAACATGTTTTTGTTACTGTGCCTTTAAGACTACATAAATGAACTCTGTTCTGATTGGCCGCCCCTCATTCAAAAAGTGGTCAGGCTGAAATACTCCTTATAATTTATTATTAAGTGACCCTTATTAGTCCCACAACAGGGAAATTTCACCTCTGCAATCTAACCCGTCCGTGCAGTGAAACACCACATACACACTAGTGAAGACACACACTGGGGGGCAGTGAGCACACAAGCCCAGAGCAGTGGGCAGCCCTATCCACAGCGCCCGGGGAGCAGTTGGGTGTTGGGTGCCTTGCTCAAAGGCACCTCAGTCATGTACTGTTGGCTCAGGGGATTGAACCGATGACCTTTGGCAAGGTTGCAAGGCTGGTTCCTTAACCTCCAGCCCACGACTGCCCCCCCAGTATGAATGGGCGGAGCTAAACTGCTGCAGGCTGAATAGGTGGATATATATAAATGAGTTCTCATGACATCACAGAAACATTATCAAATGTGCTGTGAGCATGTGTTCATATATGGTATGTTCTAAAACATTTGACAACGTTTACCTATTGTCAAGGTGTGATGAATGGATTTTGAAATAAGATTTTAAGTACATGCAGCAAAAAAGTTATGATAATTAACTATACAAAGGAACAATGAAGTAATAACAGGATGCACATGGTGTTGAAAAATAATTAACTTTATTTTACTACCAGTGGTTATTTACAGGTTGTCACCTGCTTTGACTGATGAATGAGCCCAACCTGTTACATGCACAAAAGGACTTCAGTGTCTTGCCTTTCGTATTATAAATGGATCACATGCAAAAAAAAATAATAATAATAAAATCATAATAATAATAATAATAAAATTAAATAAAACAAAAAGAATCACCCATGGCGAAATCTGTGGCCATAACATGGAAATCCTGCTGCTGACTTGACCAGTTTTGTGTTTTTTTGCAGAAAGCTGTAAACATACAAACAGGCATACACTCCCTCACGCCTAAAAAGTCATGCTCAAAACAGGAGAAAAAAGTATTGCTGAATAAAATTAAGTGATAATATATACGATTGGAAAACACACTTTAAAAACAAATCTTAAACAGTATAACTATTACAATAAGTTAGATGCTGGCACGGCTTACTGTTTCCAAAAAAATAAAATAAAATAAGAGAGAGAAATATTGGTGTGGTTCTTCTAGTTTGGGGTGCTATTAAGGGATCACACTGGGTTATTGGCTCAGATAGAGACGAACAGGCTTTCTCCAGCAGCACCAACACCTGTTCTATACACCAGCAAACAAGGAGCATCAGGTTGTGCACAATATCTGGGGAAAAGCGTTCATAAACATCTGGGTGAAGGATTATCACGGCTCATATTATACTGCAGTGAGCTGCTTTAAAGGAATACTCCTGCTTTTTCAGCCTAATCTCTGTAGAATACAGTCGGTTGCTATGGTCAATAATGCAGACGTTTCACCCTGTACTTAGTAAGAAAAGAGAAAGCACATGGTGTCACTCTTGCAATAGAAGGTACTGAGACAAATAGCCTTTGGCCTCTATTAAAGTATGTTTTGAGTTAACACACACTGTGGTAACTGACCATATTCTACAGATGCAGTAGATTAGCCTGGAGAAAAGGACTTCTGTATTCCTTTAAAGCAATTCCACTAATTTTTCAAAATGTCTGCATAATTTGATCGTTCAGAGTAACTGATGTAAAAAAAAGGAATTCTAAAAAAAATACTGACTCAGATTCTTTACAGTGGTGGTGACAGAAACCAGGATGCCTTAATCACAAATATAGCCATTTTATTTACTATTCAGAACACCAGTGAACCTACTCATGTCTTCTGAGTTTTTATATAAATAGTCATGATGGTAAAATAGTGGTGAATCTGAAAAAAATAAGTTTTCTTTTTGCTTTATAAAACTACGCACATTCCTCCATCCTCTCCTTTTAAAAAATCAGTTTTAGGCCAAAACCTAAAAAATATCAAAACTATTGTAAAACATTATCTCAGGCAGTGTATTCCTAACTTTTTCATGTATTAGCTTTCTGTGAGGTAGCATTTAGAGGCAGACGTCTGGTTCCTATCACCACCACTGTGAACAATTCTGACTCTGTAAGTTTTCTAGAACAAAGCATTTCACCTCATACCACTCTGACTGATTTTGTTTACATATTCATAATTTAATTATGCAAAAATGTAGAAAAATTTATGGAGTATCTACACAACTGCGAAGACTTGTACATCAATCTGGTTGAGCAATGTTCTTAATTTAAATTCAGAATTTTTTCACGACTTCTATAAATAATAACTTAAAATACAGCACAAGAAAACAAAAACATAAAGGAAAAATGAGGGGTTGCCAGGCTACGAAGCAGGTGGTCAAATACTCATCTAAAGTGGAATCAGAATCAAAACACAGGAGAACACACTTCAGGCCATGTAGAACAATATTCGGTAGGCATCTCATCACACGGATGTTTTTAATACAAATTCAAGCATACGCTCTATCATATCAGCAATCCTTTTGCCTCTATCTATCACTAAGGGAATAATTATTTCCAAGTAAATTCCAAAATCTGGAAGAACGGAAGTGTGGCAATAGAAAAAACTTTACTGATGTGTTATATTATAGGAGACACAAGGGCAGTGTAGAGTTGAAAAATATGTGGACATAAGCTTTTCAAATTACATTACATACATTTTACATTCTCTCTGATTGATTAGATCCGCAGTTCAGGCATCCACATTCAGAGCAGCGACGTTCACTGCTTCAATTAAACGCTGCTGCACAATATTATTTACATGTGTATTATTTTATTTACATCACTAAAAACACAGATATGTCTGTCATTTAAGAATTTCTTATGGTCGTTATTTCTGTACAGGCTAAAAGCAGTGGTAAGTTTGAAGGTAGATTTTAATAAATGTCCTTTGGGAAGCA